AAACACAAATAAAGGCAGTAAGCTCCGTAACATCGGCCTTAATAACTAAAAAAAAAAAAAAAAAAAAAAAAAAAATTTGACTATATTATAAATAACAATGATATGATGAACAATGATAATAGTTTAGATAATCTATATATTAACAATGGTTCTTCTTTTAATGATCTTTCTCCTAATGATCAGGATACAGGAGCTGGTGTACACTTTGCACCAAATTCCTATACATATTCTCCAATATATCAATCTCCTAAAATAGTACCTCACAATTCACCTTCTATGCCTTTAATTTCAACAAATATTCCATTTATATCAACTTCAACTTTAACAAATATTCCATTGATAAGTTCATCATCATCGACCCATAAGGACAAACAATCCTCTGTTAAGTTGGATGACTCATCTCCTTTTAATTTTGAAGGCCTACCTGAGAAAACAATACCTAATGATCCTCAAATTCAACAAGTTCTCTATCACTTTAACTGTTTAGTTAAAACTATGGAAAAAGGATAATCTCAATCTTCCAAGAAAACTTTTCTTGTTCAAATTCCTGTCTTTAAAGAAGAAAAGTAGGATCCTATATATTGGCTAAATGAATTTGCAACTGCATGTTCTGTTAATAATATCCAGGAACCCCGAATATTAATTATTATTCTTGCTTATCTAAAAGAATCAGCACAGTTCTGGTAGAGGACTGTTGCTAATAAAGTTCAGTATTGGGAAAATGATTTAAGGCCAGCTCAATCTTTCATCTATTTATTTCAACTTCAATTTTGCACTACCCATCAAAAATCTCAATAGCTTGCTGATCTCTGATCTTAAGTTCAACAACCTGGTGAAACTGTTGAGAATTATTATGCTGAATTAGAACATCTATATCGAAAAATTAATCCAAATAATCGATATCTATTAGAGAATAAACTACAGCAATTTATTGATAGACTAAAAAGTGAAATTCAGGAATCAGTTGAAATTTCTTGCCTACTACTATAGCTCAAACCTTAATTCGTGCCAAAGCTGCTGAAGCTGCTTTCTCTCGAAGAATGTCTCTTGGTTCTTATTCTCTAAATAGAGGATATCTTAACTATTACTCTCCTTCTTTTCATCATCCTGATAATACTATTCCTATTAATAACCAGCCTAATAATGAAGTTTCTCAAGCTGTTCAGGCTATTTTAAACTATTTTAAACAGCAATCCAGCCAAAATCAAATACTTCTCGAAATAATAATAACAATAACTATCATAACAACAATAATAATAATCGTAACAACAATAACAATAATTAAAATAATAGTTTTTCTCAATAAAATACTATTGTTTGTCAAATTTGTAATAAACAGGGCCATAGTGCATGTGATTGCTATCAAAGGGATAACAATAATAATTTTGGCAATAATAATCAAAGAAAAGAAAATTTTCAATATAATAACAATAACCAAACCAACAATAATAATTATCAACCATCAAAAAATAACTCTCAATCACAATCATCTTCAAATAAACAAAAACCTCAATCTATATATTATACCCTTTCTGCTGAGGAGTTACAAAACTTTGTTCAAAACTCAGCATAGTCTTTAAACTCCTAAAGGCACACTATGAGGGCAGTAGTGCTTATTAATCAATCTCTTCTTCTAAATCTACTTCTTTATTAAGTAATTATAATAATAATCAATTATCTATCTTAAAGGACAATAATTCTAATTTTATTAACAATCAAAATCAGTTTAAATCAGCACCCTCACTGATTTCTACTAATAAACAACCAAAACTCAAGGAAGCTATGAATATAGTTTACTGTAATGCCAATGTTAATAAAACTCTATTTTATTTAATTCTGGATACAGGATCACTTACAAGTGTAATGTCAAAAGCTTTTGCTAACAAATTAAATCGGTTTATTGAAAAACATCTAATCTTTATTTTTCTGATATTAATGGTAGAAAAAATTGATCACTAGGAATTATTAATAATATACCTCTTCAATTATCTGATATCACTATTCCTATTGATGTGGAAGTAAATAATGCCCAAGATTATGCTATAATTGCTAGAGTCAGTTGGCTTAACAAAGTGAGGAGTATCATTGATTTAAAAAAGGGACAATTTAAATTTACTTGAGAAAACAAATCTTATATTTTATCTATTACATGTTGGGAAAAGCTACAATATAATAATGGTGAGTCTATTTCTTTAAAAATTCTCTTTGAGTCTAATGACTCAAATAATCAAACTTTAGTTGTTGAAACTCATAAATATAGTGAGGATAGATATGAATCATCTAATAATGAACTATAGAAATCTAAAGGATTTTTAGTTATAGGAAATTCTAATGAAAAACCTATACTTAAAATCAATAATACCCAAGTTAAATACCAAAATGAATCTTTTGATAACTATAACTTTCATTCTGAGCAAGCCAGTGATTCTTGAACTATTAAATGTTATTATGCTCAGCCACAAAAAATATGTCCAAAATATATACAAGTAAGGGAAGCAATAAGTTGTTTTACCACCAAGGAGGACTTTGAGAAAACAAATTTGTCTTCTGAAAATAATTTACAATTACAACAATTTTTAACTGAAAATGACCATATATTCTCTAAAGGAATGAATAATTTAGACAAAACAACTATAGACTAACATCAAATTATTACTGAAAATGTTTCATCTATTTATTAAAAAGCCTACCGTATATCTCCAGCTAAACATGAATTTATTTAATAGAAACTCTCTTTGATGCTTGAAAATGGGCTTATAGCTTCATCAAAAAGCCTATAGGCCTCTCCTGTTATTTTAGTAAAAAAGAAAAATGGTAAATTAAGGCTCTGTATTGACTACAAGAAGCTTAACAAAATTACCAAACAAGATGTTTATCCTTTACCACAAATTGATGAAATTCTGGATACTCTTAAAGGTGCTAAATAGTTTACTACTCTTGACTTGGCTAGTAGATATTGGCAAATTGAAATAAAGCCTGAGGATCATAAAAAAACTACCTTATTATCAAATATAGGTTGTTTGAATTTAATGTTATGTCTTTTGATTTAACAAATACACCTGCTACTTTTCAACAAGTTATGAATAAAATCTTTTCTGATCTTAAAAACAAATTTATTTTAGTATATCTTGATGATATTACTATCTATTCAAAAACTTTTGAGGAGCATTTGAAGCATCTCAAGGAAGTTTTTAAATGTTTTCAAAATGCTGGACTAAAATTAAAGAAGGATAAATGTTGTTTTGGAAAACAACAATTAGCTTTTTTAGAATATATTATTAGTGAAAATAGTGTTGCTCCTGATCTATCAAAAATTGATAAAGTTCAAAACTATCCTGTACCCTATAATTTTACTGAACTCTGTGGATTTATTGGCCTAGCTTCTTATTACCGAAAGTTTATTTTAAACTTTTCACAAATTGTTGAATCTTTAAACAAGTTGTTAAAAAAGGATACTCCTTTTGTTTGGACTGAAACTTGCCAACAAGCAATGAATATTTTTAAGGAAAAATTGACAACTGCATCTATTCTTCAATACCCTGATTTTACAAAACCTTTTATTCTTTATACTGATGCTTCATATCAAGGTTTAGGTGCTATTCTTGCTCAAAAGGATGATGACAACTATAAGCATGTAATTGCTTATACTAGCAGGTCTCTAAATTCTGCTGAAATTAATTATTCTCCAATTGAAATTGAATGTCTTGCTGCAGTATAAGGAATAGAATATTTTTAACCTTATATTTACCTTAAATTTTTTGAACTTATCACAGATCACTCTGCTTTATATTGGCTATTAAACCAATCTAACCCTAACAAACGAGTAACTTGATGGATTCAATGGATTGCTGATTACCTCTACACAGTTATATATCGTAAAGGATAAGTTCATTCTAATGTGGATACTCTTTCTCGTCTTTCTAGAAAGCCACCCTAAGAAAAATACAAAAAAAAAGCTTTAACCAAAATAGAACTTACGCTCTATCACAACTTTTTAACTATTTAACAACTTTGAAATTACCCTCAAACTTGAATCTAAAGGAACAACAACAATTTAAAAAACAAGCAATACACTATATTATTGAAAATAATCAATTATATAGGAAACCAAAGGGTCATCACAAAACTATTATATGTAGTACAGGAATCTGAGCTGCTTACTGTGCTGCATAGTCTACATTCTGATATTTTTGCTGGATATTTTGGCATTAATAAAACTTATAATCGTGCTAAAAACAAATACTATTGGCCTAAAATGTATAAAAGTATTACAAACTATATTTAAATATGTGATACTTGTTAACATCAAGAAGGAACAAAACAAAACAAATTTTTATATCCATTACCTGTCTCAGCTCTATTTCACCAAGTTGGAATTGATATTATTGGACTTTTAAAAATTACTTCTAGTGGAAATCGATACATTATTGTAGCTACTGAATATCTAACCAAATGGCCTGAAGCTAAAGCCATACCTGATATGAAAGCTACTACTGTTGTCAAGTTTATTTATCCCTTAGATTGTAGTAGAATACAGGCAAATTTGCCTGCGTTTTTACACTTTTTTAGCTCTGATTTACTTT